CCCCCCCCCCAATCCATTTTCCCCTTTGGAAACAGATGGTGTCTTAGAGTCTTGGAAAGAGGAGAGTTCCATGGCCTGCAATCCTCTCTAATCTTGTGGCAGATGTCATTATAACCCGTGGCTACTACTACTGAGGAATCTGTTCAGGGCTTGTGCTTGGGATGATAGTGAAGTTGTGCTTTGCTCTGTTTCCTCCCCTGTTCACACTGATCACCGCCCCCCNGAATCTGTTCAGGGCTTGTGCTTGGGATGATAGTGAAGTTGTGCTTTGCTCTGTTTCCTCCCGTGTTCACACTGATCACCGCCCCCCCAATTGTTTGAGTTCTGCTTTACCTCAGTTTCCTGAGATGAATGTATGTTCAGTCGTGGCCCCATGGACTACATATCTCTTCCCTGACCTCCCCATAGCCCCCAAAGCCCGCTAGCTAAAATGAGTGGAGGCTCAGCTTCAGACTTTGTTCACTCAAATCTGATCTGTGGTTCTCTGCATGTACAAGCTTTCTGCTTACATGTTTGGGTTGATTTCTGGTTGAAATTGTTTTCTAAAACACCTTCTAACTCTTAAGTGCTACGATTCTAACAATGAGGAATGATAGCAGCAGACACGTACTTAGCGTTATCACATTGGCAGGAATGCCCTTGCTATTAGTCGTAGGACAGACAGACATATGACCAGTCTCTCCACTTCTGCATCCAGGTCATTCATTCAACACGTATTTATTGAGCACTTCCATGAGTCAGGTATTGTGCTAAAAACGTTATAAACATCTCATTTATACCTTACCAAGTGTATATATGGAATCATAAAGGGTTAGATCTAGAAGGGACCTTAGCATTTATTTATCCTCATTGAATGTGAACATAGGGAAATTGAGTTCAGGCAGGATTCGGTGATTTGCCGAAGGTCAGAGAACCACTTAAGGGCAGAATTGAACTTTGAGTAGTTAAATTATGGGGCAGATAAAAGTTAGTTAGTTTAGTCCTTGAAGTAGGCATTTCCTGGAGGTGGTTGAGAACAATCCAAAAAGTAGAGAATCTGAGAAGGAAGTATTTTTGTAGACAGGAGAGATGGCATGTAATTAATGTTAATAAAGATGAGAAATGCATTCATCTTATTTGCAAGCTAATACATACTATTGTATTTTAGCAAATAGGAAACTCTCCATTAGTCATAGTAAGGGAATAAACAATGGTACAGACAACCATAGTCACTTGGATTTGTTGTGGGGTAAAATGTTTTGTCCCACTCTTAAATTTGATTGTGGTGGCTATATGTACTATTTGAAAATTGATGCTTTAAGCCAAATCGTGGTTCCAAACAATGGGAGTCCAGTTCAAAGGAGGTAGGAAGTTTGAACTCTTCCTTTTTCTCCTTTCTACACCGCCTCTTAGTTCTCTAGCTCCTGGGAGGTGATATGGGAATGACCATTTCTTAATCCTGGTGCAGAGAGTAGGTCCCTACTGAATTGTCTTTCTTTTCTTTCTTTGCTGGCCTTGTCTGCTGGATTTCTTTTTCCCTTAGGTCACTGTAGGGCTTGTGGAAGGAGGTAATTAAGTGTTTTCTTTGAAAGGCTTCTTATGTTGATGAGCCAGGACGCAAGGAGAGTATCTTGCTCCAGTTACTGAACTGAAACCATCCCTATAGTAGAGCAGCCTCCTCCAGTTTCTGCTGGGTTTTTGAGCCGCCTGTTAAATAAGTCAGTGGAGTTGCTGAGGACAAAGTAGTTCTAGGGGAAAATCAGATAATTTCTTTTCTGGTAAGGACTTTAATCTGCAGAATTGATGTAACTATCATCGAAGGAATCTGTGTCTTCTGTTCTGGGTATTGCCTGGGCAGCTGACCTTTCATGGCTGTCGGATGAGGTAGAAACCACATAAAGGAGTTGAAGGCACTTGCAGAGGAGCTGTGCAAAGGGCTAAAGCTGTTTGGGAAGCTTGGGGCTAAGGGCAGCCGGCGCACATAAGGCTCTTGAATGTTCAACTAGAAGATGCAGGGAGACTCAGCAGGAGGGCAGGCCTTGTGGTCATCATAAGCCGCCAGCATGGAGGCTCCACTCCCACTGCCAGTGTCTGTCTGTCTGTGGTGGTATTCTTTGAATTCTCAAAGTTGTCTTGGCTTCTGTATCCTTGGGGTGGTGCTGGGACTGGAATTGGAGACAAAGCATCTTATGTCAAGGGGTAGCTGAGCTGTCCTTACAGGAGACAGGGACTCTTATGCTACCAGGTTGGGTCTGGTGGCCTGTAACATCAGCCCTTTAAAGGGAGAAGGAAGGATGAGTATCTTTTGCCAAGACTCAGCACCAGGGAGGATCCAGGTGCAGGGTCCACATGCTATGCATTTACCCTCCCCACTGGCTGTTCCTTGGTGAAGAGCAGTTTTTTAGGAGGTAGGTCAGTGGGTCAGGGCAGGCAGGGACTTGGGGACCCTCTGCTACAGTGGCCACACTCACAGAGACATAGTGGGCAGCTTTGTGCATGTTGGCTGTGCTCCACCCAGTGGTCCGTCTACAGACAACTCCAAAGATCCTTCTTTGTCTTGGAGCTGCCTGCCTCTCCTTCACCCCTTACTGTGACCCTTTAGGTGTGCATCGTCATGGATTTGCTGTGTAACCATGTGGTGTAATATGATTTCTGCCTGATTAGAACCTCTAGACCCTACCCCATATAGTCTGGTTGGGACAGTGGCACCGCATATTCCGTGGAGAATTGAAGTGACTTTGCTACTGTCCACAGCTGGTAACTGGTCCATCTGAGCCTCAGTCTTAGGTCTTTGCTTCTAAACTGGTGCTTGGGGCCTCCCCACTGGTGCGCTAGGGAGGGGCAGGACCCAGGCTGGTCCCTCACAATGGTGTGCTCTCCTAGGAGCCATGCGGGGCCAGCGGAGCCTGCTGCTGGGCCCTGCCCGTCTCTGCCTGCGCCTGCTTCTGCTCCTGGGCTCCAGGCGCCGCTGTCCCCCTCTGCTCCGGGGCCTGGTACAACGCTGGCGCTATGGCAAGGTCTGCCTGCGCTCCATGCTCTACAACTCCTTCGGGGGCAGTGACACCGCTGTCGATGCTGCCTTTGAGCCCATCTACTGGCTGGTGGACAACGTGATCCGCTGGTGTGGGGTGGTGAGTGATGGCTGGGGAGCAGGAAGAGGGATGTTTTGGGGTAGCAGAGGGACATGTGTCTGATGGACCCACACCAGCCCCTACCCCAGGGATATTCCTGAGTTACTCTGGGCATTGGCAAGCTCTCTCACTGCGTCTGACCTCACTGGTGTTGGCAGGTGTTTGTGGTGCTGGTGATTGTGCTGACCAGCTCCATTGTGGCCATCGCCTACCTGTGTGTTCTACCCCTCATCCTCCGAACCTACTCAGTGCCACGGCTCTGCTGGCATTTCTTCTATAGTCACTGGAATCTGATCCTCATCGTCTTCCATTACTACCAGGCCATTACCACTCCACCTGGATATCCACCCCAGGTGGGTCTCCACAGGCGGTGGGGGGAGGCAGAGGGCTGCTGGCCTCGGGAGCCAGTGCCAGGAGTGGGGAGAGTGAGTGCCTTGGTATCTTTTGAAGTATGAAATTGGTGCTGCCACAGTTGCCATGATGCCTTTCTCTCTTTGCACAGGGCAGGAATGATATTGCAACAGTCTCTATCTGTAAGAAGTGCATCTACCCCAAGCCAGCCCGAACACACCACTGCAGTGTCTGCAACAGGTGGGTCTTGGCTTTGCTCTCTGTGAACCCAGCTAGTCCCTTTGGCTGTAGCCCTAGGGCAAAATCTAGACCTGGAGTTTGATGTTTGTGAAGCACCCATCAGGTGCCAGACAGTGTTCCCTCTCTGTCATGACCCCTGGTCCTCAGGANCCTAGACCTGGAGTTTGATAAGATGTTTGTGAAGCACCCATCAGGTGCCAGACAGTGTTCCCTCTCTGTCA